TCCATCCTGTGAAAGAATTTGGTTTTGAAAAAAGACAAGAAAAGAGAAATGATCCCAAGAAGCAGGGTGAGGGTGAGCCCAGAGGGGAACCTCAACACGTCTGATGGAGGGCAAGTCCAAGTGAGGAGGAACAAGAAATGTCCTCCTGCCCCTGAAGATGTGGAGGCAGGAGGACAGGCAAGTGTGAGAAGCTGAGAGAAAGCTCAGAGGTACCAGGGGTAGGAGGAGCAGGCCAAGCTGAAACCATACGTAGGAGCCAGTGTGCCATGCTCACGGCAGTGAGAGCTTGTGCGGTGTGGTGATGTCCGAGTACACACATTGTGGTCAAAGATCCACACAGTGAGGTCGGGAACCAAGGCCATCTTGGAGCAAGGACCCTACAAAGCCACAAAACCTGATATCCACACTCAGGACAATGTTCCCCCCAAGCACTGAGCAAAGCTTGGGCAAGATGTAGGCCAGACAGATGGTGAACAGTCCAGAGTCCTGAGGTGCTTACTCATGGGGACGCAAGATGAGAAATCACTAATCATAAAGTAAGTGACGCAAACTGAAGCAGCATGTCACCACCGTGACTCACTGACCAGGCTCATGTCAGAGACACAGGAAAGCTAGCCACTTCTGTAAAATGGCTCTCCACGTGGGAATGAGAATAAGGGCTTTTGAACCTAGGACCTTGCTATTGAGGTAGGAGCTTTTCTGATTTCTGCGCAGCGCTGGAACCACCACCCAAGGGCTTTGAGTGTAACAGCTTGCTCCCCACCTCAGGAAATGGGAGGTCCATGCTGGCAGATGTGGGGATGCTGTACGAATGCCGTGGGGAGACACGACCAGAGATGCTGCCTCCTCCAGGCGATGAATGGCCAGTGTGCACCTCCTGCAGGGGTGCTGTGAGAGGAGTTTCTTGCTAACACAGGCTCTTTCCCTGGGAAAAGGCTTTCACACCTGCGTAGGAACAATCTCAGACCCCTTTCTGATGCTGTGTCAGTCAGCGGTTTCCTGTCTGCCTGTGAAATCTGTAGCTATTAAAATCTGCATACTGATGACAGTTTCCAGAGTCAGCACTGAACTGAAGGTTCACAGCACATGCAACCATCCCTTGCTGTATAACCAGAGAGCCCCAGCCACCCAAATGCTAAGGGATATACAGAGTAAACGATGTCCCTCCTAGAGTTCACTTCCAATTTTATGTATTAGGGAGGAAAAAAAACCCCACAACCCAGGGCTGATCTGGTTTCAAGAGGGTATCAGACAGGAGGAGAAAGGCAGCCAAAGAAGGGGAAAGCAATTCATGCACACTAGGCTGATCTGATGCACAGGGGTCGGCTGGGTGCAGCTGCCCGGTCGCTGGCAAGGAAAGCAGAGCCAGGCGACTGCGGTGTGCTTGCTCAGACAGGGTCCCATAACACGATGCTCATGTTCGCAGGGGTTATTCTTCCAGGCCCACTTAGGAAGCCCACCAGACACAGCCGACTCCAAGAGCAGGATCGTCAGCTATGCAAGTGGCTGTTCCCCGACACAGAAGATGAATAGGTGGCCATGTTGCGCTGCAGAGCCCCGGGGCAAAGGTTCTTTCTCATTATCCCCTCTGTTTTTTCCATCATGGTGCTCCCTACGGCTCATATCTAAGTCTACACAGAGGGGACCTAAGGATCTCATGGCACACTGCCCTGCACCCACCCCATCAGGATCCAGCAATGAGCCTTAAATCCTTGAGAATCTCATATATATCTCCTCCTATGGGCAGCTAAGTGCTTTGGGTCTTGAGGAAGAGTGACATAATTTTTCTTAAATTACTTTATTTCATGTATATACGTGTTTTCCCTGCATGGGTGTCTGTATTCCACAAACCCGAAGAGGCCAGAAGAAGGTGCTGGATCCCCTAAAACTGGAGTTAGAGATAGCTGTAAGCCACCCTGTGGATGCTGGGACTTGATTGCACCAGAGTAGTCAGGAAGAAGAGCCAGTGCTCTTAAAGCTGAGCAGTTTCCCAGTCCCCAAGATGAATATTATTAACTAATTAAGAAACAGAAACTAAAAAAGATCAAGCCATTGAGTCAATAACCTAAGGTGCCAGCAGGCTCCACAGGGAGCAGCCCACGGCGTCACCCGGCTCTCTCTTGGTGGCTTCAGTTTAAATGCCTGGAGCTGTCAGGGAACAATCTCCAGCAGCAGATTGGGCTGGTCTGTCTTAGAGCAGGGCAGCAGACAGCCCATGACCTCTGTAATTCCCAGGGCACCACATTCCCTGGAAAAGCTTTCATTCTTACTGTCGTTGGGTGTACTTCCTGTTCCTAGTCTGGGTTCTTGATTTTGTACACTCAGCATCAGCTGAGAAGGAAAGATGAAGGAACTGGGTGGGCTGTTGGAGACTCCAGTTTTAGGTACAACGTGTAACTAAGTGATGCCCCTTGGCAGCTTTCATCTTAGGGGCGGGCTTTTCCTTAGCTATCTGACGCTATCAGTTTCTAGGTACCACACTCTGAAGGATTAGAAGCCACTCTGAGGGCAGTGTTGCCAAACTTCCAGTAGTGATTCTCCGGGTTTTCAGAAAAGACAAGCTGCCAGCCAGACTGAAGGATACAGTGAAGAGCAATCACAGCCAGGGTAGGGTCTAGATGCAGTGCACATCTTCCAGCTTCTAACAGTCCCTGCAGAGCATGCCCAGTACTGACCTGCTGCTGAACATGCTATAAGGGGACATGTCCCCAAGTTGGCCTCTAGCTTCACCATCTGGAGCCCCAGTGGGGCCCTGCAACTGTGGTGTGTACCAGTCTGAGAACCACTGTGTTTTAGGAAATGCAGAGTAGAAGTTCGTCACCACTTCCTTCTCCTGGGCCTCCGCCTTGTCCTCTCCTTATAAAGCAAGGAGGATTAGGGTCTGTCTGTATCACCCAAGGCCAAGTCAGCTACCAAGCATTGAGGGAAACTAGGAGGGGTAGCAAAAGGGAAGGGCGGGGCTACAGTTAAACTACCACAGGATAGCAATATTCTTCTGGAGACACAACCAGGATCCCCTACAGGAAACTGAGCAGTTTCCTCCCATGTATTCCATGGGGACAGAAGCAATACGGTGCAGCCTGGGCTAAGTACAGAGTAGAAAGAAGATGAGCCACCAGTCAGATTTTACTTGTCCCTGGTTACTAAGTCCCAGCTCTTCTCTAAGGCATACCACCCTTCTGCCATCAAGGCCACCTGGAGAACCAAATTTATTCCCAAGGTAAGCTAGACAAAGAGTCACACAAAGTATTTCATCTAAAAAAGAATATCTATCTACACATGAATACAGCTACACCTTGAGAATATACAAGGACCTATGAAGATATCTATCATATGTACCTTGTAAACACAGATGTGCACAGGATGGGGTTACATACCAATACACCTACAGACACACTGAAAACAACACAGGTGGGGACTCACTCACTCACTCACTCACTCACCCCACAGAAAGCACATCTCAGTTCTGCACAGGGCCTGTTTGCACCAGCCTGCACGTGGGAAAATGCTTCACAGTCACAAGTAGACTACCGTCATCGCTCTGTTGCCCATGCCAGTGGAAGCAACAGGACAGCTGTGTGCGAATGCTTTCATCCTGCTGTCCGGTCAAAACATCCTGCAAGTCAGACGCTGCCTGCAGACTGACAGTCAGGCATGGCTGGCATTGTCATTAGCATCACACGCCAGCCAGGGATCGGGAGGGAAGCAGGTGCTTTCTAACGTGGCTCTGAAAGGTACAGCTACTGCTCTAAGCCAAAGGGAAGAGGGCAGACACAGCAGCAACAAACCACAGGAGGACACTATGTGTCACCAAGCATGCCAGGAAAAGGGCTTTTAAAAAATGTGACCATTCTTGAGTGTGCAGGGGAAAGGCCCCTCACCAAATGCTCTTTGGGGAGATAAGTGGGCATATGGGTCCTAGAATCCAACAATGTGTGCTCAAGCTGGTGATGCACGTAGACCTTACAGCTCTGCAAACTAATGACTGGGAGTTTGTCTTAGGGAAACAGAAAAGGATATCAGGAGAAAGCCCATCCAGAGTGACTTATAATAATGGGGGTGTGTGTCAAATTTATTTGTCAAATATCTCATTTTTGTTTTGTTCTGAGATGCTGTTGAAGCACTCAGACTATATCCATGCAGTAGAATAGTGGAATACTATATAAACATCAAAATGGTGCTGTGTATTCAGTCTTGGAAAAACACAGGTGGCCTCTCATTAGTGAGATGAACAGGCTGTGGGATGTGTGCATGTCTGTGTGGAAGCACCAAGCCCATGTGCACGGAGACACAGACACCCACACTCCCAGCATTCAGTCACATAGATTGCTTTCAACTTCTGCTCAGTATGTTTATTTAAACTTTTTGTTAACAACTGCAATTTAAAAGACTTTCAATTTTTTAAAAAGGTAATAGCTTAGTAGATTGACAACATCCAATGACTAATGGTATAGATTTTAATTTTCAAACTCTGCAGGAGCTCATGGAATCAAAATGAACAGTCCACCTTAAAAGCATTCACTGTGGACAGAATGACCAGATTCCTGCCAGAACTGAACTGAGCCTGCTTTCAGAATCTTCCGGAAAGCACGAAGGTGACATCCTACAGAGAAGCAGTTTTCCTGCTTTCTGAGTTGGTGCCTGCTATTTACCTCAGCATGACAACTGCGGCCAATGACATCTACAGCTGGCTTTGCTCTTAGCTGCTCAGAGCTGGGCCCTGGGATCAAATTCAGTTGTTGTAGCTTAGGCTTTCACAGACACTCTCTAGGATCTCAGGCCTTACCCCACCTTGCCACGCCCATTTAAAATGCGACTGCAGATGGATCTGGCAGTGTAATCCACTGTAGTATCGAGAGCCCTGGATTAACGGATGAAGCGGTGGGAGAGCAGGACACCTGAGAAGGGAGCCTGAGGGCCTGACTGCACTGTACACATCTCAGGGGAGCGAACACCACTGCCCTCCTCACATGGCCTCTGCCCCACGGAGCTGTACTCACATGTAAACTGGGATGGTAGGTCAGCACGCCGTTGTCGCACAGGGTGACGTACTTCTTTTTCCACTCTTTGTTTAGGGACTTGCCACTTCGCTTCAGTAGCATGCCCTATAGGGAAGAGAAGCCAGGTGTGAGGTGCCATGGAAGTGGAGAAAGGGGTACAAGACACAGAGGGATCCAAAAATAAAATATAAAACTTTCTTAGGTTTTGCATTTTTAGAGATTAACCTTTTTTCTTATATTTAAATTTGAGTTTTCCTGCCATACTCAACATTACAGGTGTTTAGAGGTTGAACTCTGCTAGAGATGCTGAAGATCCACCATTGGTCAATAGCTGCAGTAGACATCCTGGGTGTCCATCAAACTCCCACAGAACTGAGTCATAGCAAGTGGGTGGTACCTAACAGAAAGATGCTCCTATTCTTTGTTTGTTGGCTTGTGTGGCACTGGGAACTGAAACCTTGTCTATTCGAGGAAAGTACCCTACCACTAAGCCCCAGGCCCAGCAATAGCCCCAGGAGTAATATATTAAAGAAAGATCTCAAGATCAAGGATCTTCTCACCTTAATTTTATAAACACAAGTTCATGCTATAATTTCTTTACAGAATTTTAATTTATCCAAACTGAAATTCCATTTGCAAACTTTAGTAACAACATTGGGTGGGTGAGCTGTAATTCACCTCAATTGATTTTTAATGACGTCCATTAAGGTCTCCGGGAAAGCTTTCAGAAATCGGAAACTAACATATTTTGGAAGTCACATGTGGCGCCGCCTTCTCTGGATGACTGCTGCGGATGTGTTCCTGGTCTAAGTGCCAGTTCCCAGAGAACCTTGCATCTGATCCTAGGCTCTCCTGGGTGAGGACAATGGATGGACAATCCTGAGTGGGGGACAGGCCAACACTCCTGCAGCCTTGCCTCCACTCCAGTTGCAACTTTTATGCCACGGTTTCCCATTCCTGTACATTCCAATGCTGTCCATGCACAGTGAGCAAACTTCTTGTCCAACAATAAACTTTCATAATTCTGACAATAGCTGAGAAGGCATGTACCTAACACTAGCTAATTCAGCCAGACTTAGGAATCAAGAAGTTACAGGTTCCCAAATACACCTATATCCTTGGGACACAGAGGAAACCTTCCTCCCCTACCTTCCTGATCCTATTCTTCCCCAGGGATGCCAGTGTGGGAGAAAATCAGGTCAGTCTGCACACATGGCAGGAAGGAGATCACATGTCTATCACCAACACTGTGAGAATATAGTTGTGTTTACTCAGAGCATAACCAAGCTTTAAATCCCAGCGTGGGGATCCATTAGTACCTGTTACTGGGAGATTCGAACAACCCACAAAGGAACCTTTGGAAGGTCACTGCTCTGTAAGATTTTATCATGTTAAGAAAGCATGTGGCAAAAGTGACATGAAAAATGTTTCTGCTGTACACGAAAGCAACAGAAGCTCCCCTGTGTGATACAAATGGGCGATAGTGAGTCACCTCCACAGACACAATAATAAACCAACAACCTTTGAGCCCTCATGTTCCCTCCCCATGGAAAGCTCCCATTCTTACCCAGCAACACAAAGCCACACCCAAGTTCTCCAGTGGGCTCACATTTTCCCATCATCCACTTCAGATAGAATTTAAACAATATACAGAGGGCTGGGGGTCATTGCAATGTCACTAGAAGATTGGGGCTACTGCAGGCTTCAGAAGGCCATGTTCCTCCCTGTTCCAGCAAGTGCCTGCAGATGGCTAACAGGACTCCTTTGGGAGGATCGTGGGCACTTTCATGAGCCAGTCCTACACTCCTAATTATCCTTCCACCAGTGAAGGCTACAGAGGAAAAGAGGAGAAACTGGTCAGATGAGAGGCACGCACAGAGGCTCTCAGAGTTTATCTGCGAACTAAAGAGATCCATTTTAAAATTTTTTTTAATATTCAAATATTTATTGTGTGTATGTATGCCACAGTGTGTGTGTGTATGAATGTGTGAAGAGTGTCAGAGGATGTATGTGTGCATGTGTACACGAAGGGGGGAGGGAGAATGCACCTGTGCATTTATCTGAAGGGTCAGAGGACAATTTTGCAAGAATCAGTCCTCTCCTTTTACCATATGAGATCCAGGGATTGAACTCTGGTCATCAGGCTTGGCAGCCAGAGTCTTTACTTGCTATTTTCATGCTAGGAAAATAATATTACCAGGAAGGAAGACATGAATATTGACAATCTTGAATAAATCCTACTGTTCCTTGGAAGACACTGTTGGTTTATTCACTGTAAGAGTAGGTGGGCCTGAAGAACACTGACCTGCCCAAGGGCCACCTCTTTCAGCATTCCTGCCTTGACCACTGCCTTAACTATGTATCCTTCCACCTCCACCCTTCAAGGTTATGAAAGGGTCTGAGAGCCCCTCACCTTCTTCCTGTACACGCACCCTAGCTGTGGCCAGCAAGTCCTTGAAGTGGTTCAGCACCTGACCTCCCTGAGAGCTGGCTGACTCTTTTGCTCACCACTAAACACAGGTCAGAGGCAGCAAAGCCAAGGGACACAAGGCTCCCCTGTAGACAAGACTGTGCACCACACAAAGACAAGTGTACAGTGAAGTGGCAGGCCTCCTATTCCTGCCATTGCACTGGGCTATGAATTCTACAGTTCTCAGCTACACTGAACAACCTGCTCTCACAGCAAAAACTGAAGGGCTGGTACCTAGTGTTCTCAATGGATACCTGTGACAGGGGTTCCCTCCAGAGCAACGTTTAAGCAGATAGGCACCTCGCTATTTCAGAGAACCCACAGTTTCCAGAGATGCTTTTCAGTTACCAAGAATTTCCAGCTTAGTCAAGGCACAGGATGGGGCTTCCTTTTTGGGTTGGTCTAGGGAACCCTGTCTGACTCTCAAATTTCTACAGAATACAATGTATTCAAGTTGGGCACCGAGGTGCAGGCCTTTAATTCCAACACCAGGGTTGGAGAAGCAGTCAGATGTCTATGAATTCAAGGCCAGCCTGGTCTACATAGCTAGTTCTATGACAATCAGGGCTAAATAATGATACTGTCTCAACCAAAACAAAACCAAACCAAAAATAAACAAAACAACTCCTACAAACAACAACAATAACAACAACAACAAAAACCCGCAAAAGCATGGCCACTACTCTCAGCTGCAGAAAATGCAAAGACATTCCTTAATCTATACTGCAGCTGGCTGCAGGGAAAGAGGCTCTGCAGACTACCCTGAGAGCAGGCAGGAAACATCCATGACCAAACACTTCCCAGGCAGGAGGAAAACCAATGTGCTTGGTGGGCGTGAATCTCAACCTACAAGCAAACTCAGGGACCAGGACCGGGCTGAAGAAGCTGGATGGCCAGACATGCTGAGAGTCTGCAGCTAGGACACAGAACAGCACATGCTACCACTGTGGGGGTGAGGCAGCAGTCCCAGGAGGAGGCGGCCTTGTTGTGTCCAGATGTCTGCTCAGTACAAGAAGCACCAGACTTGCCTCAGAAAGCTCCTTAGCTAGAAATATTGGCAACAGCTCAGAAGATTTTCACACAGATCTTCTGACTACAGAGGGCTGTCAGCCTGAGACTGCCAGGCAGGAGCCCTGCCGCACCAGATATGTCGCCCTAGAGCCTGGACGAAGTGTGAGATAACATGTACCAGGAATGCTGAGAGGCAGGGGGATTCAGCCCTGGGTAACAGGCTACACGGGAGAACGGCAGACAACACTGAGGTCACATTCCAACACACAGAAGCAACTTCCTTGGACAGAACAGGTCTGCAGAGCACAGAGCCCCAGAGAAGGCCCAGCTGGATAACCAGTATGTGACTGGCCATTCGGGGACACCCTGTGGCCACATCCTGGCCCCCACTGGGCTGTTACTGGAAGGTCTACCAAACACAAGGCATTTGTGTTTTGAGTGTCACCTGGCCTGGGAAACTCTAAACTGTGAAATGGGTACGGGGACTGTTTTTCAGCCCACAGACACAGAAGCATGGCAAGGTTATGGCACAGTAAGGCCACAAGTGGCCTAAATTATAAAACAACCTTAAAAGAAAGAGCAATCTTCTTCTTAGCAGCTACATACAAAGGCCACAGGAAGACTTGACGCGGCTCCTTTCACCTCAGGACCAAAATCCTGGACCAGGGTTCTACTGCAAAGCTCCAGGTTCCAACAAGTCCTAGTGTACCTTTTAGGCCCCTGTCAACGACAATGGTTCCCTAAACTGTTTCCACTTTATAAGGCCATGGTCATTTGATGGAGTATAATTAAAGTCACTAATAGACCCCAAGTGAAGGCACCTGGCCTTCTAAACAGCCAGAAGTTAAACCATAAAGTTCTGTATGTACTAGGAGGGTAAGGCACACAGTCTTTCCTGTGGTCCTCCAGGCTCTACTATGACACAGAGTGGTTAGAAAGTCCCAGAATGGACAGGGCCTGTGATGGGGAAACAGTTCCATGCTCTGCCAGCCGGAGCCCTCACCCGTCTCTAGCAACCAAGAAAGAGGCAAGCCATGAAACCGTTCATTTTACACTTTCAGAGGACACAAAGTCACAGTCCCGACATCCAGGAGATGACAGAGGCCGGAAGGCTCCTGGCTGTCTAGACACAGGCGGGCGGCTCCCGTCAGCGCGTGCAAATGGCCCTTATGATTCTAAGTCTCTTTGAGTAGCTGTAACCTAGGGCAAAACTGCACAGCAGAATGTCGAGATGCATCCTTCGTCCATCTTTCAGATGCCAATCTGGTACACGTGAAGACAATGCTTGCTTTAGATGGTTCTTGCCGACTAGCATGGCCATTCATTTGTGAATGGTTCATTTCACTGGCAGGGGGCTGCAGTATTTATCTGGATGTTTTTAGGTTTCAGGACAGTACTGGGCTTCATTCAAAAAATAAGTTTGCTCCCTGCACATGCAATCGTTAGTCTACAGAAAGCCAAAACATGCAGGCATTTGCTGCGGAATATCATTTTAAGGTGTGTTGCTTTTGTTTATGCTGCCTTTGTTTAGTTCTGTGAAACTGTTATTCTTTGCCTGTCTAAAACACCTGATGGTCTAATAAAGAGTTGACCATCCGATAACAAAGCAGGAGCAAGGAAAGGC